TGTCTGCGTTTCCCCATGATATACCTACATCCTCAAGCTTCTACTAAAGGTTTTCAAGAAAAGAATCCAAGAAGGAGCATTTCACCCAACATAGCTGCTATTCACTCCCTTCACTGTGGATACTTCAGTGAAATCGCTTGTTGAAGCCCATCAATCGAGGTTTTAATGACTATAAAATTCTCTTTATTTACTATTTTAAATTTTAATTATACACTATCGTAGTATCGTTACATACGAACTGTTCTATCTCTTTTATTTACAAACTGAAACCCATATAATTAAGGCCTAAAGATATGATACTCGTGAGTAGGAGTTGTCAATGAAAAAGTTTTAATGAGCAATTTGGAGTCAACATGTTTTGGATGGCTGTTTATATATTATTGTCAGAGTGATAAATGATATAAATTAATCTACTTGACCGTGCTTTACTGTCTTTGACTGTCTTCTCATGGACAACTTGTGCTCACTTAATAGAAACACATAAAAAGTTTCTCTGATCAAAGTATATTTTAATCAAAGCACAGCCCTCGAAAACGAGGTCAGCATTCGGCAATGCCGACCTAAATGCCGACCTATCAACCTCCCAGGTCGCCAAATTTTTGTTAATTCAGCGCTAGCAAACGTTAATTCAGCAAAAGTAAGAAATTTTTGGTGCTGATAGCTGTTAAAAAGTCAGCGATTATAAGATTTGATTCGTAGTTCGATTAACTATATAAACACATTTTGGTGCAAGGTTTAAAAATTAACGTTTAAAAATTAAATTAAATTAGCTCAGGTAACAGGGCTGGCTCGCCTCCATATAAACACCGCCTAAGACATTTAGTTTATAAAACATTTTGATCACAGAAACTTAGGGGGTAAACAAACTCAACTAATAATTACTAGTATATTTTTTCGCCCTAATTGTGACTATAAGCTTGCATATAAGAACCTAGGCCTACAATATAAGAACCTGTCAGGCTAAATATTTTTATTTAGACACCCTAAATAAGAATTTATTTAGGCTAACATTTCAGGTTCTTATTTTATCACATGAAGACAAATCAAATCTAAAAATGTATATAAATTAAAGAAAATAAACTCTTCACAAAATAATGAAAATGATCCAGAACACTGAAAATATCATTGAGATAAATAAAGTGTTGGCAGCTTTACAGTATAGCTTTACACATAGCTATTAGTTAGATAATTTGTGCACAATTTATATACATGTATATACATGTAAATTATACCTCATGCACATACCAAAAATGAGTCGCTTTTCTTTACCGGGATTTAACCTAATTTCCAAGCTCTAATGAGCATGTAGTCACTACATGTATTGTCCAAAGGTGAGGTCTGGGGGTTTGAAATCCGAGCTTTCTTTCTCCTAGATGGATTGCCTCCTACACAAAGCAATCTGAAACACAACCCAGTTCATATTGTACTATGATTGCCTGATCTTGGGCCACAAAGAGTGGCACCATCCCATGCATATATATATTGTCAGAACAAGCTGCTATGGCCTGTTTTGTGACATGAAATCAGACAACACAGTAAAACCCTGCATAAGAACCTAGATTTTTTCCAAAGGTTCTTATGTGAATGGTGCTTACCTGACTGTTCATGTCACAAACTGTAATTATATTTAGTATATATTCAGTATTTTCAGGGGGCATAAGTCCTTGAGTCATATACATGCCCGTATCCCCTTGCATGGATATATGTGTGTTAATAATAATTGTTTATAAATTATATGTATTATCACATAATAAATCTGTTATAATCTGTAAAACATTTATATATAATAAATCATATATAAATCTGTTAAGAAAAAGAAAGATTTGTTGATGTAAATAAAAATTTCATCAGTGTTTCCTTAGCATTCTGATGAGCTCTGATATAGAGCGAAACAAGCATAATTGTATTTAGCAATTGTCCTCTGTCTTGAACAGACACGATGAACTAACGTGATCACTAGATTGACCACCGAGAATTGTTGAAGTTAATATTACTATTAAATCATTCAGTGTCACAAGAATATCATCATTTAGTGTCAATATGAGAGTAATATCAATGTAATATCATAATTTCAAAACATACATTTTTATAAAACAAAAAAGTTGAATATAATCTTAGCGTCTCGTACTCTCGTCAATCTTTCACTCTTCTGTTGTTTACAACGGAATCATCTCCATAGCGCAAAAGAGCTTGAACAAAAGCTGTTTATCCAGTTTTTGCACGGTCAAAAATTTCGCCCTTGGCTTTATGCACCTATCAATGTTTTCCCCCTGAGGGGGGGGGGGATGCGGGCAACCCAAGGGAATTTTGACATTTTTAAAATATTGTCGTCAAAATCCCCACTGTTGGGCAAGGAATGGCTGTCAAAATTCCCTACTATATTCCTAAGAAAACAAGACTTTCAAAACAGTTTTTATATCAGAGCATGCAGAACGTGGAACACTCTACCAATATCTTTAAGAAACTTAACTTTATTGTCTTCGCTTAAACGTTGTCTATTTAATTACTATTTTTTATTAACTTCTAATGTTTATAACCCAGAATTGCCGCACACATACAAGACTGTTTGTGTCAAATGTCACAAAGCCCGTCCTTTGGATTCAGTCAGTGACACTCTGTGCTGCTAGTGCCCTTTCTTTATATTATGTGATGACTTTTTGTTGTTTTTGTTGTGATGCACTATTTAGTGTTTAACTCTTGTATACAATATTTCTATGTATTTTACAACTCACGCGGGGAACCCGTTATTGGAGCTTCGGCTCTGTGGGTGCGCCCTTCCTGTTTTTGGGTAAATTAAATAAATAAATAAATAAATAAATAAATAAATAAGCACACATATGTTTTCCAATGCGAACATACAGTCTATACTGGTTTAAACTTGGTAAAAATTGAGACATTGTGTATAAAATACCTTTTTCGATGAAACTTGATCGTGCTTCTCCGCCATACTTGTTACCAGGCCTTTTAATGTCAAAACCGCGCAAACTTTCAAGATGGCGGATGTCACAATTTCCCGACTCTGGGAGTTGATGCATAGGTCAAATTCCCCTCCCTGATGCTTCATAGTGTGGTCAAAGTCCCCTGGGTCGCCCGCACCCCCACCCCCCTCTCAGGGGGAAAACAATGATAGGTGCATTACCACGAAGACAGGAACTGCAGCCACATTCTCAATCACACTTTTTTCGAATTTCGTCAAGCGAAAAGCTTTCCTCAAGCTCTTCTGTCATAATGACAACAACAACAATGGCAACATGTTTCGAGGGATTGATACCGCATTAACTATTTTCATGATGAGACACAAACTCCAAAGGTAAACACAAATTATTCGAACTCACACCTTCGGGATTTCGGTTCGCCGCCCCAGCTGTTGATATAACAAGTCACACAAGGTTCAAAGCGGCCTCTTTATTCACGATGTTTACAATTAAACAGTTACAGTATAAGATTGTGTTGTTGTGTACAAAAATTTCCAGTGTAGAAATGTACAAACAAAAAACGTAAACAAAGCTCGCGCATGCCCAGAAAGGACTGTAATCTACCTTTAAATTCTTGTTTATATCAGAGATGAAGTCCCATCATAAACCTAACCAAGAATTTTTAACAAAATGTTGTGTATAACACAGTTTCTGAAGGCGTTCGAAAATAATGCTGACGTCAGCACTTTTATTGTTCAAGAAACTGTAACTCAAGAGAAATGAACCCTATTTATTCATAATGTTTGGTGAGCACTCGTAATAATGATTCAAACAACATATAAAACTTCCAGTATGCTAGCTTTTGTTCAAATGCATTTGTCACAAACTTATCATCTACACGAACAAAATATTGACATATGAAATTTGTCAAATAAAATTTGCTCGTGTAAACGGGGCTTTAGGCCCATTAAGTCCATTAACTATATAGACATAGGACGGTGGTGTGAAGGAACAGACTAAGACAACAATCAGAACAATATTGTTATGCTATATTAAATACATTCCATAGCACAAATATACACCTAGTACTTAGATATCACAATCACCTTCGCTAAAGAACCTCCATTTCAATCAGAATTGAGGCGTCCACTAATGTCGCAATCTGAAAACGAGGCTCCATAACTAAAGTGTCGTATACTTTCCGTAATGGTGTATTATAGTTGAACTTTAGAATAGAAATTTTTAGAACATTACCAAAACGTTTCTAGACTCAAAATTACTCAAACTATAATAGAACTTTACATTGGAAAACAATGAAAAGGAGGATGTAATACGTCAGCTGTTATAAGTCTGTCATTAATATAAGAGTTCCCATCTAACGCAAAGATGTCTTGTACATTAATAATGAATTAATTATGAACCAAAAAATTTGGCACAAAAAAGTTGGATCAGTTTCATCTCTCCAACAGCCCCATTTTTTTGTTCAACCTTGCATTTATTCCATCTGTTGCGAAATCAAAATTTATTTTTGTGAAGTGGAAACACGGCAAATAATTCTTTTTGGGCGCCCATATTTTCATATTGGTGTTGGTTGCAAACTGTGTCACCGAAGATTTTTGTTCTTATGATCAGACTTTCTGTAAGTACCGAAGTGGTTTAACGATTCAATTAAGAAAGACTTGAGGGAACAGTTGGGTAATATTTTTATCGAAATTTGACCGCACGTGTGACCGTACGGAGAAAAATCAAAAGCTCAAATCATGTCTATGAAATGCGAGTATTGTAACAAGATGTTTTCAAAGAAAATAAGTTTGGTGCAACACAAGAGAACACACACGGGAGACAAACATGAATGCGATGTTTCCAACAAAAAATTTTCAGATTCGAGCAGTTTAGTCCGACATAAAAGAACACACACAGGGGACAAACCTTATGAATGTGATGTTTCCAACAAAAGATTTTCACGGTTGAGCAAATTAGTGGTTCATAATAGAAGACAGTGTGGAGACAAACCCTATGAATGTAATGTTTGCAACAAACGATTTTCACAGTTGAGCAAATTAGTGGTTCATAACAGAAGACACACTGGAGACAAACCTTATGAATGTGATGTTTGCAACAAAAGATTTTTAAACTCAAGCAACTTAACGGTTCATAAAAGAACACACACTGGAGACAAACCTTATGAATGTGATGTTTGCAACAAAAGATTTTTAAACTCTAGCAACTTAACGGTTCATAAGAGAACACACACTGGAGACAAACCTTATGAATGTGATGTTTGCAACAAAAGATTTTCAAAGTCGAGCCATTTAGTGGTTCATAAAAGAACACACACAGGAGACAAACCTTATGAATGTGATGTTTGCAACAAAAGATTTTCAGATTGTAGTAATTTAGCACGACATAAAAGAAGACACACTGGAGACAAACCTTATGAATGTGATGTTTGCAACAAAAGATTTTCAAAGTCGAGCCATTTAGTGGTTCATAAAAGAACACACACAGGAGACAAACCTTATGAATGTGATGTTTGCAACAAAAGATTTTCAGATCCGAGTACTTTAACTCGACATAAAAGAACACACACTGGAGACAAACCTTATGAATGTGATGTTTGCAACAAAATATTTTCACAGTCGAGCCATTTAGTGGTTCATAAAAGAACACACACAGGAGACAAACCTTATGAATGTGATGTTTGCAACAAAAGATTTTCAGATCCGAGTAGTTTAACTCGACATAAAAGAACACACATTGGAGACAAACCTTATGAATGTGATGTTTGTAACAAGAGATTTCCAGAATCACGCAAGTTAACACGACATAAAATATCAGCACACAAGAGTGAACAGAGTTTTGAGTGTCGTATCTGCAAGAAAACATTCACACAACGAAAAAGTCTCAAACGTCACTGGAGATTACATTCAAGAGATGGATTTTTGTTGTGCAATACTTGTGGCAGAGAAGTTAGTCAGTCACAAGGACGAGGACATGCTAATGAGATACTGAGTTGTGGTATATTCTACCAATGTGATGTATGTAAGGAATTGGAAGCAAGAGTAGCAACTGGTATTGGCTATATCTGTTGTGTCTGCGATGCTGAGTTTGATATTGCCACTGAACTTGAAGATCATATGAGTATGCATGATAATATGCTGCCCCAGGCAAGATAAATTGAAAATATTTTTTGTAACATGTTATTTTTGAAATTTTGCTTGAAATTGATTTGGGATTGTTTGATATTGAAACGGAGATTGATATTTTGGTGATTGGTAAAATATTGAAAAGGAGATTGATATTTTGGTGATTGGTTAAATACTGAAAATGAGATTGATATTTTGGTGATAATTGATTTGTTGATTCAGGGATGCATTTATAATTCTTGGTTTGCAATTGATGTCATGGCGGCCATGTTGGAAGAAAACTAACAAAAGAATCTCATTACAGTCGTGCCAATAGAAGCATTCCG